TGTTTAGCGCAGCCACACAATAATATAAACGATAATATTAGATAGATATTGTATAGACTTTCCTGACTGTGTTTCAATTCCAAATCAATTTTATTTCTGGGTTTCAGTCATTTATTGTCTCTATTTATCAATTAAAATACGTTTCGGTGTATTTTTCCACAATCATCAATTTTTATGTGTAGCGTTGTTGCTGCTTTAAGCCTTGGCATGCATTTGGAGTATTAATTTTGTCCATTGAGAAAGAGTCCAAAGAATGGACAAAATGAATACTCCAAATGCATGCCAAGGCTTAAAGCAGCAACAACGCTACACATAAAAACTGATGATGGTGGAAAAATACTCCGAAACGTATTCTGATTGGTAAATAGAGACAATAAATGACTGAAACCCAGAAATGAATTTGATTTGGATTTAGATAGATAGACGAAGCTAGTCATTCATAAATCCCGGTGTGTTTGGAAGCAACATTGATCTCTGTCGATCGGCGATTCACAAAGAAAAAATAGGTGGCAGGTATAAAGCAGTTACAAAGTAGGACCGATCGATAAATTTACAACATTATAATTAATCCGAGGACACTGAATTCGCTTCCGTCTCAAACCGTTTTCCATATGTATTTTCCTGGAAAAATTTCTCAGTACATTGTTTAATTAAAACATCATGTAGTCTGTTGCCATATGAATATTCCTTGTTCCTCCACCAAAAGTAGGGCAGGATGGGGATCAGCCCCTACCGAAATAGTGAAAAGGGGATCGTACTGACCTACATTCATAGTGCAGGATTAGGGAGGACTAAACTGTAATTTTGCGTTTAATTTTTTGGTTAGAAAAGCTAGGGCTTTAACTAGGAAAGACGATTAATCGACACTGAAGGAAAAATTGGATAAAAATTGCTAGCCAAGGTAACTCTAGGTGCTAATTAAAAAATCAGTCCATCTAATAATTAGTCGATTAATGCTGAGGTTATTCAAAATAATGACTTTATATCACGCGTAAACAAATAAGCAATTAGGGCTATGAACAATAGGTTCAGTTAATTTAATATATTTAATGAAAGGCAACAAGTTAACACATTAACACGATGTTCAAGGGTTTGATGTGTTGACGGTTTCCACGCTAAATTCCACGACTGTTTCTTTCCTTGAATCCCGCATTTTTTCTAATATATATAAAACCCAAGTTAACATACTGAAACTGAAATTGGGAAAAAACTGCCAAATTAGTTTCCGATTTGTTCACGTTGTGATAACCTCACGTAAAAATGATAAAACTCCAAACAAATGATCAAGAAGAGTCCCAATATCGGTGGAATGGAAGCCATAAATAACGTAATAAAATGTGGCGTCTTCGAGAAACTGTATATAAAGGAATGACAAGAATTTTAAAATGCCAACTGTGTAAAGCGGCGAGGATCGGTAGACCCGAGCATTGGATGACATCTGGGCCAATGATACAGGTGGGTCGGTCTGTCCTGTTGTCACCAGAGTAGTGGGGATGTCACCAAGCTTTGGGGACGCTTGCGCGAGGCGTAGACCACTGTCACCTGAAATACGCCTCTGATTCCCAGCTTTAGGCGCCCCCTGTCGGATGCCGAGTTCCTGCTGTCCGCCAAGATTCAATACCCAAGCGACAAGCCTAGCGGTTGCGTCGGCAGCTTTAGTCGATATTATGCAGCTTGCATGCACGTTTTCGGATAAAAATCACGATTATTTGCTAAACAAATTGCTTCCGTCTATGCTTTCTTGCATATCGACACCAAAGCGCACTATCGCATCAAAAACGAAAAACTGCAGCAAACAAAAAACAGCATAAACCCCAAAGGAAAATTACTATGCCCAAACTCCACCTGCTTCCAGGATAATCGTTGTTTACTGATTACTGCCGAAAAACTAAGCGATAGCAGTAAACTATAGATCGTCTACTACATACCCCTAAAATACCGCTGCGCTAAAAAACCTGCTGAGAAAATTATGTTTACATAGAATTTGTCCATGTGGCCAAAGCAGAGTCTACCTGGAGCTTAGCTGGGCTGCTATGTAAGCGAATACATAAGGACGTCAACTGTACATGCAGGAAAAGGCGGAGCCAGGACAAAATTGTCACTGAAAGGACGATTGTCACTTGTCGCGAAGGCAGCGCTTGCGCGACCCTCTCAGGACCATAGGTTGGCGTCGCGCCTGGCGACACGCCCGGCGTCCAGGCGACCCTTGACCTCACGATAGCCGGGACACACAGGAACGGACCCCCCAGTTTCTTAATGAGGATTTTCAAGCACGGCCTTAATTAGATTTCTTGTTTATTGATCTTCTACAAGTCATTTATAAGAGTTTTCTCCGGGAGAGTTTCACAACTCTCTAACTTCGCCGACATGAATGCAATGAATTACAATAAAAAAAAAAGATGGGGTCGGTTGAAGAAGACGTAGCTACACGCAGACACGGAATGGTTTGCTAAAATATTAACAGTTGAAAATAACTTGAGCAGTGTGAAACATTCAAATTTTCTTGTTGTAAATTTGTCCGTTTGGTTGCGAATTCACATTCCGACTCGCCGAATTTGATGTCTTCTATAAAGATAAAAGTAGCTTGAATATGCAACTGGATGAGATGAACATATGTGATATGTTTAAATTGAATGTAGGTCTGTCCCAACCTATTTGGCAGTGACGTCATGATTTGAGACGCCATTTTTAAATTTACTCGGGTTTGAACGATTTCCTTCCATATTGAGTGGTTGCTTCAGCGTTTGTTCGCGGTGATTTGAAAATATTTTTTTGATTATAGCAATGTTTTATAGAAGTTTTGAAAACTTTTCACGTTTTTCAGCTTCGTTATTAATTTGCCTCAATTGTACAGTACTTGATGTTACCTGAAAGCGTTAACGTGTTATTTTCGTGGTGGTAAACGTGCAGTCAAATTATGAAGAAAATGGAAGACAAAATTGGGAACATATACAAACTCGAGGCGATGAAAATATGAGCAAACTGAATCGTTGTTTTCCTTTATAATATTGCTTGGGGAATCTCAAATCCAATTTTAAAAAACCACAGAAATTGTCAACATTCTTCCATACTTCCGCCAATTGTAACCATTTGATCAAATACATACGTTAGTAACATCAAATTTCCCTCTCGCTCAGTTGAGAAGGAAAGAAAAAGAACGGCTATTATTGCGTCACTGCCAAAAAGCTTCGGACAGACTACATGTATATAGTATATGCTTAAGTCGGTTGCATTAAGAACCAGATAGAAACATCTTGCTTCGAAGAATGAAGAATTACATGCTGTAATTGTCATTTACATAACATGCATGTTTGTTCAAAAAATGCTTATCGGCAAACACAAAAATACGGTTCCATACGAATTGATGCCGACTCCCAAAGACATACCAATTCTTGATCACATAATTATTTTTTTCTGATTTCCTAACCAATTCGTTTGCGACCGTATATTCCATATTTGAAATAATTGTTTTTGATGTTTGATGGCAAATTGAGCCCTAATCCAACACTGCTAACAATCACACGAACTCGCGTCCGCTTCTTCGTTCAGACTTCGATCGGGACCCTTTTACGCCCTCTGTCGCAATAGGTTTATGCAGTAGCTCAGAGGAAAAAATTGAGGAAACGCTGAACATCAGATAACAATAAATAACCAACCAAATCCAATCGATTGACTAGCAATAATGGTAATATTAGTGATGGTGCTGCTGGTGCAAATATGTTTATATTGGGATTGTATCAGACAATAACAGAACTGTAATCAATAAATCTGAAGGAAAAATAAATGAATTGATACAGTTCCAGTTTAATTTTGATCTTGAACTTAACATTTCTATTATTGTATAATCTGTAGTCGGCATATTACGATTGAATTGATTCAAATAAACTGGATTGCTCGATAACTTGGAACTTTATTGCGCTTTAAATGGACTTTGAATTGGATAATTATGCGATAAATTATTCAATTTTTACCGAACTCGATTCATTGCCGGAATCTGACCTTAAACTTATGCATTGTTGTAGTGAATTATCTTGATTTAATTGAATAAGACACACTACATTCATAATTAGCTGTAAATTATAATGCATATACAGAGGGCTTTGTCTGGCGCACTAAAAGAACTCAACTACACTAACAACTAACAAGTCCTACACCTTCTATAAATCCACAAAGTTTTTCATTTTCATCAATTCCTTGCCGGCACTATTCAAACAGTTCAACGAAGCACCACAGCTAATATTCATTCCAAGTTCCAAACTTAATTTTGATTGACTCATTCACTTTCAAAAATCAACAGAAAAAATGTTTTTACCTTCATATTAAATCATACTTGGTCTAAACCAAGAGACTTCCAGATCACCAGATTCGAGCCTGAGCGACATTTAAACGTTCATGCTTGAAAATCACACGGCCATTTAATTATTTACTTTAACCACTCACTCAGAATACCTCAATGTATAGTTGGTTTTTATAATTGAGACCAGTTTTGCAGATGAGCTTCAAAATGATGGAAAACTGGCTGCATTAGTATAGACTGCTTAATGTAAATTGGTATAACGTATATTGATTATAACATGAAATAATTATGTTGCTCGATTTGCAGCTTGTTTTAGCTAATCCATCTTAATGGCGCAGGGACCAGGACCAGGTGGAATATCCTGCTGTTGGCCCATTTTAAATCGGAGTAAATTTTATGTGTAGGTTTGAGTAGAGGAAGTTGGAGGAATAATATTAATAGTGTCAATATTAATGCCCTAACGATGACATAAACCGTGACAACGAAATAATTGTGTTTGTATACCAGATTAGTGTACCCACAATATAGGGGAGAAACAGTAAACGTAAGCGAAAGTTAAATGTTTTGCCTAAGTGGATCCCTAATTGCGAGTACATATTTAAATAAAATTAAAGAGAAGAATATCGTTTTTAACCGTGAGCATTCGGACGAAGTCGAATGGGCCGGTATGGAGGAAGCTTCTCACAAGTTTAGTAGTAGCCGATCCAACAGCGTGAGCTTATTTCGCAGCCAGTTAATGGATTTTAAGCCATGCGTTCCGGCGTTACCGTACTGAATAAAAACAATGTTTTGCTAAACTAGGCCTAATTTCTGCTGTCCCTAAGTCACAAATTTAACTAACCAACGAAGCGAATGTGTCAACTTCGCGTCAGCTTTTGAACCGGACTCATCAGCAATGTTAATTGACAGACAATAAACAATTGTTTAGTGACTTCCCTAGTGTTTGATGTCTCGCAATACATTATTTTCTGATAGCATGAGTACTTCTCAGCCGTTACGGCCTGTTTTGAATGTAAGTTTGTGTTCGGACATTTTGTTACCTACATACTTTTTAGCTTATGTTAGCTGTTATTGTTTTCAACTCCAGAATTGTTGCTAGTTTTTAATATGTTATTATGTATTTACTTAATAGTAAACCCCACATTGCTGTAGGTAGTTGCATGTTCTAGAGTTCACAAAACGCTTTTTTGATGCTTCAACAAATGAAGACAGGGTGGTTTTTTCAACCAATAAAATCCACTTTAACCGAAGAAGTTTTGGTAAATTTAAATCTGAAGCAAATTGATTTTAATAGGATTTTATTTTGCTCCAGTTGTTTGCAACAGCGGCAACTGCAATCTTAAAAGCACCATTTGTTGATAACCTTATTTTTTATCATTGTTTCGGGAAATAATAACGAATTAGAACGTTGCGCTTATTATAATGGTCTTCTTGTTTTGATCAAGAAGAAAAATGTCATATATATTAGTTCCACGCAATTGACGACGAATATTGGAATCTCTCACATCAGTTATAAATAACAAAAGTGAATAAAGGGTCGGTGCGATAATCACCAATTTCAACGGTAATAAATTTAAGTGAATTAGCATTAAACGTGTCTAAATAGAGGCTGATTAAATGGCGTCCAGAAATAAATCATCCGCGTAACTTACATTAAATTCTGGTTTAATGTATTCACATGTTGATGCCGCCTGGTAACCAAAATCACCTCGGGCTTTTTGCTGCTTTTTAAATCGCCACTGTACTTAAAGTAAATCAATTTGATTCTTACCAATATCCATTAAACCATATTATTTTACATAATGTTACAGTGTAAGCAAACATGTGGTACATCAACTCACCAGCTTGAGTTACGTCCATTTCAGAAGCGGATTTTCATTACGAGATATTATTAAATTATCCTTCTTGTATTAATGGATAGCTTAACAGCAAGGAACAGATATTGCGTATAAAGTATCTTACGGAAACCTGAAAACTGTTTGGTTGGAAAAAATCATCAAGGTTGGAATCCACCATTTTGGTGGAAGCTTATAGGCAATATTTCACCACATCAGTTGATATGCTCGAAAAAAAACCTCTTAATCAATAAATTGGTACAGTTATGTATTTTTCGGCGTGAGGTAATAATCAATCAGCAAGTTTGAGTAAAAAAAGCCTTAATTCATGTTTGTCCTTACACTGTATAGTAGAATTTCCTTATAAAATACAATTATCTGTGTCTAGTGCGTGACAATACCGGTAAGATCGCAGATTAGATTGTATATTTACTAAACACCTTGTATAAAAAGGATATAGATTTTGCCGATCGCGTGATTTTGTGAGTACGACTACATAGCGTGAAGGACTACGTTATATAACGAGAACCTATTACTAATCAAACCAACATTTGTTTTTTCAACAGTTCCAATATGTGTCGCCTTTCAATATGGCCGAAAAACACGCACACGGGTAGCATCGGTTCAGGCAGGTTTTATATCAACAATATTAATATAACTTTATTATCAGCGTTGCTCCTCTACATATTCATGGCTTCCATGTAAATATACATGCGTGTAGAAATCTCATCAATTCATTACTTTATACTCAAAATATTACTATATTAGGGAGATTGGATTCACTTGATGCCTATATTTTAACCCACAGCCTCCATATGTATTTGCGTTAATTGCTAATTTGTTATATTTAACGTCCTTATTAGTCACTCGAGGCTAGACAATACACGCTAGGAAACCTGGATAAATAGGCGCTACAAAACATCTTGGATATCCCCATTTTTTGTCGTATAAACGCTGTTTATTTAAACATTGGCGTTGCTTGGCAATTTTCTATGAAATAAATCCATGTTTACGTCAGAGACGGCAGTAATTCAAGTGTAGTAAACGGGAGGGTTATGGAAGCAAAATATCGAATAACCATATCATATATGTGGCAGGTATAAAGAAAAGCTGCCCCAAATTTTAGATTTAACCACGATTTCAGGGCCTGATTTAGGAGAGTTTCACCTCTAATGTACCGATACTCCAATGCTGATAGGTCGTAACCCAATTTAATAAAATGGAACAGAAAACACAAAAACCCTTTTGTATTTTGCCCAAATTTTTATTTGTTTTGTGGGTTACAACCTACCAGCATGATGGAGCATCGTTTATCTAATAGACTCAAAAACCTGTTTTTTGTAATGGAAAAATTGACTGACTAATGTCTGCATCTTTATAACGCCTTTTGACTTCTCCCAACAATTGGAGGATTTTTTAAAATTATTCTCTTATTCTATAGCTCAAAATGTACTAAAATGTACCTAAAACCCAAACTTTGGTGCTAAAAAACACACAATGATGCTCAAGTTGTTTGCAACCATTCCCTACTTGTCGGGCGGCAAGCTGTTGCTTTAATTGGCAACCTTCCTCTTGGATGCTTAATTCCTACCTTCTAGACATTGACTGATCACATCTTTGCAACTTTGCTGATACATATCAATCGATATTTATTCCTATTGCTGATAAATTCGCAAAACGAAAAATTCTAAAGGTTGGGACGAGGAACTTTAGCAATCATTAGCAGATGTAGAAGTTGAAGAAGTGAGGGTTTTGCAGATGTTTGAGCTCGCTTAGGAGTAAATCCGGCCCTGCTAATAATTTCATTGTGGAGTTAGTTATTATACAATATGGTCCCTACACCTGGTCATTGGATGAGCTTACATGTACCGGGGGCCATATTGGTTGTACCATCGTGTGACCCAAATGTAAAAGAATAAAAAGTTTGTCGATGAAACAAGGTTCTGTCCAAGCAAGCGACGCGACCGAAGCAATTTTCAATTATTAATCGAAAACCACGACGAAACTTATCATTATATTTTGTCCATAAAACACGGCGACTTTTTTTTGTGTGTTGTGCCTTATCGGACGGAGGATATCCAATTTAAAAAATTGCTTTAATTATGTCGGAAAGGCAAATAAACATATCTTTGTAAGTATGGGCATTTTTTCATTTACTCTATTGCCTTCTTCTGAGGATGAGAGTTATTGTGTGACACATTAAATGCCTCAAAACTACGGGTTTGCCCAAGCAACATTATCGATTATGTATTCAATATGAGGCTCTGATAAGAGGAGCAACCCGACTATCCATACACATCTAACGCTTGATCCTTCGTAAAACTGACCAACGCAATTAATGCACGTATAAATATATACATAAGTTTGTTGAAAATTTTGAAGAATTTTATCCAGTTCTAAGTGCTGTAATGGAAAAAATCGTCTGATATGAGATTTTAGCTCTATTAGCCACGCAAACAGATCAATAAACGTTGTGCAATAATCATTATCCCAGCAAAAACTAACCTTGCATCATTTTATGCAGAAAAATCACACTGATATGATCACTATTTTGCATTTCTCAGCCTATATCTTTGGAACATTACAGATTTTTGCTGCAACTTGATAACCGGTTTTTTCTGTGCAATAAATCATTCATATGATCTTTGACATTCAAATGATAGCGAAGAAACAAAAATTTCGGGTTTCATGATAATGCTATCTAGCTTTGGATAAGGTTATGGTTTTGTGTATGTAATGCTTTAACTAAGCGGAATTATGCGTTTACGGGATTTTCAATCTGATTTTGTTGATAATTCGTACCAGTTCATGACTACAATTGTTATGGAAATTATTAATTATGTAATGTGCACATTTATTCAATACCCTGAATCCGCACACTGAATTGGAAACATTCAATAGGCATAACTACAAAGACAATTAACAAAATTCAATTTTGGTAAATTAAATCTAATAATAATTGAACCAACCAAATCTCAAATCAGAAACCATACAATGAGCCCACAAAAATTAATGAACTTTAATTAATATCAGTCCTATTAGGTAATTCGTGATGCCCTCCACTTATTACCGAAAAGGGCTTGACAGCGTTAAAAATTAACCGTGAGTTTCCGATAATATACCATAATAAACCCAGATGGTCTATTTTTGATTGAGCTCAATGACTATTAAAAGGTTCTTTTAATTTGATGGGTCACTACTTTTGAAAAATTTATTCATAATTTGAGTCATGATTAAATGAGTAATAACGTATATAATCGGAAAATTTTGGACAAGCGACCAGATATGTTTTGGGGGCTCACTTTCAGAGCCGTTGATTGCGCATATGAGCTTTCTAAATAGAATTATTTCTTTATAAAAATATTTTTTCTTTGTAATTGTAACACTCTTTTCAACAACAGATTTTGTAAATGTCCAGCTTTGGCCAACAGTGATGTTCCTCTTATGTTATAAAATATGTGTCTTTACACACAAAAATTTACAAAATTGTTGTTGAAAATAGTGAATTTCATTACGTCATCAATAATTGATAATGAGTTTTCTATGTACCGAATAAATTCCGAATAAAAACTGAATATGGAATTTCACCACCTAGTGGTAAAATACGTTCTTTATATATAGAATAAAAAAAGAGCAGTCATTATAAATTCGATGTCGAGACGTTGTGGACATTCTCCGTTTCGAACAACCTTAGGATTTTGATTAAGACATGGAGATGTTGTATTTAGAAAATAGATGGTTTTTTGGAAAGAAGAAATGAACTAAAACGAAGAAAAGCTGCAAAACGATCAGGCTGGCGTTTTAAAGACTGCGTTCAGCCAGCTCTTCGTAATTGCAGGACCCCGTATAAGTTTCTCAACACGCAAGAGTCGATTAAATGACAACTAAATCGTTAGCATGGTATATAATTTATGTGAATAGTCCAAAAGGGTAGTTATTAGAGCGGCTTCGATTTCTCCCCGTTTATAAAAAGACCCATAATGAAATTGAAAATAATACATACGCGATTGTTAATAGCCCTTGATTCAATTATCTCCGGTCACAGTTATTCCTGATTTAACCTGCGGAATATCATTCAAATTGTAGGTATATTATCACGACTGATTTAATGACCTTTTAGCACAGTTATTGAATTGCCCTTTATATCCTCATTGGAAATAATTCCACATTTACAAAT